TGGAGGGTGAGGCGTCAGCGGCCCCACGGAGGACGGGCTTTGCTGGGGTAAGGGGTGCAGTGGGGCAAATCCTGCCAGCTCTGCTCTGCTGGGGTGGTGCATTACCCCTCCAGCTTCTGCTCAGCCCAGCGGGAATTTTGCCCTCCTCCTGCCAGGATAATGCTGGTGCTGCAACGGTGGAAAAATCCCCATGCCAACAGTTGGGCCTCATCCTGCTTCTTCCCTCTGCTGCAAACCCCCACGTGTGGTGCTGAGCCTGTTCAGCTCATGGACCTGAGTCTGCCTCAATCCTGAGCTGGGATGGCTCTGGGAAAAGCCAGAGGCTGGGAATTACAGGGGGTGTTGTTGGGGAAACTGAGGCAGAGCCAGGGGGGCAGGTGCTATGTCCCCCTAAACCCCCCCCTCTGGTGGGGCCCTTCAGCCCATGATTACAGCAGATTAACTCAGCAGTGGAAGTGCTGATGGACCTTCAGGCTGGGATGCAGTGGGCAGATCTCAGCTGGAGTCCCATGGTTTGGGGAGACACATTCCCAGGGGGGCCTTGGACCCATTACCATCATATTTGGGTCAGCAGTTCCCTCTGTGATTGGCTGGCAAACCGTTGTCAGCTTGGTGGGGAAACAGGCCCAGCTCTGTCCTTGAGCCACGAGCGGGACCTGGATCCCTCCTCAGCGCTCCCTGGGCAGTGCCAAGGAGTTGGGGCCTCCATCCACGGTGAGGATGGTTGGGATAAATCTTCCTCCCGTGGCTTCAGAGCAGCTTCACAGCTCAAGGGTCCCTGCACCCAAAAGATTTGGGGTCTCTCAACATCCAGGCTCTCTGGAGATTCTACACATGCAAAACCTGTGGGGTGTCTGTGCACCCAGGGCACTGAGAGTGTCTCTGCATCCAAATCTTTTGGGATATCTCTGCACTCAATGTCTCTTGGAGCATGCAAAACTTTCGGGGTGTCTCAGCACCTAGATCTCTTGGACTTTCTCTGCACTCAAACATTTGGGATGTCTCAACTCCCAGATCCCTTGGACCTTCTCTGCAGTCAAAACTTTTGGGGTGTCTCTGCACTCCACATCTCCAGAGTGTATCCAAACACAGAACTTTTGGGGTATCTCTGCACCTCCAGAGCATCTCTGCATCCAGAGCTTTTGGGCTATCACTGCACCCAGCACCATTTTAGTACTTCCACACCCAAAACTTCTGGGGTATCACTGCACTCAGAGCTTGTGGAGCATCTCACACCCAAACCTTTTGGGGTGTCGCTGCACTCAGAGCCTTTGGAGCATCTCACACCCAAACCTTTTGGGGTGTCTCACACCCTGGGCTCCAGAGCTTTGCACCCCCAGGCTGAGCTGCAGGGGTGTCCCACAACCAAGAAGACCCCGACCCATCTGCTTCCCAAGGCTGTAGGACCATCCCACACACACCACCTCCCCGTGCCCCCCACCACCCCCTGAACCCCTGTGCCATGGGGCCCCAGCCCAGCCCCAGGGTGCCCGGGGTGCCGGGCGGGAGGCGAATTCCTGCAGGTCGGCTCCGAGCGGAGCCCTGGAGAGACGGAGGGCTCCGGGACCGACCCATGTAGGGCTGTGAGCTCCAGGGCGGGCTCCTGACGCGGCCTGGAGGAAACCAGGCGTCTGTGCGCTCCGTGTCATGTACTTCCTAATCCTCCCGGATTCCTCCATCGGGCTGGAGAGGGAGCGGAGTGGAGCTGGATCCAGCCGGGCTCCGCCGGAGTTCAGCCTCCCCGCCGAGCCCCGGTGCTGGCACTGACACCCGGCACATCCCTGCCCTCCGCCGTGTCACCCCAAAACCCGTCTGTCTGTCTTTCCCCCTGGGCAGGACATGAGGAAACACGTCATCATGACACTGCTGGACACGGAGCAGTCCTACGTGGAGTCCCTGCGCACCTTGATGCAGGTAACAGGGTGGGACACCCCAAACCACGGCACTCCCAGGGTGGGACACCCCAAACCACGGCACCCCCAGGGTGGGACACCCCAAACCACGGCTTGGTGGCACCCGGGGACCCCAAGTTGGACCCCTGGCTGTGGGTGCTCCACCAGCACTGCTGTGGCACAGGGGTGGGTTGGGAAGTGGGGACAGCAGGGCCAAAAGTGGGAGCTGTGCCGAGAATGGGGTGTGGGAGTTCCCTCTGTCCCCCAAATCAAGCCCACGTTGTCACCTGGCAGGTCTCATGTTCCCAAGTCTCTTCCTGTGCTTGCCCCCCAAAAGCTCTCCCTCGTGTTGCCCCCCGTCTCCTGTTGCTGGTGGTCCTCCCATGGTGGGGGACCCCTTAGGCCCCCATTCCAATGTGCCCCCATTTTCTGCTCCCTGTCATCACCTGCGGACACGGGCCAAGGGTTTTCCACAGGCTGAGCTGGTTCCAAGCCCCTGGAGCAGCCTGGCCTGAGGGTCCACCCCATGTTTGAGATGTTAATGAAGGTGTTTCAGCAGGTTAATGATGGTCAACGCCCTGGGGACAAGTGACCTGGCAGAGGTGTGGGCTGTCCAACCACATCCCTGAGGGTGGGAACACCAAAAAGTCAGAGCTCTGCTCTGCTCCAGACAAGGCAGTGCCTGTAGGACATCTGTCCACGGGGGAATGGGGCACACCATCCCAACATTTTTCCCATAAATCCCTTGCAATGGTGGGCCCAAATATGCTGCAGGAGGGAAGGACCCCCTGAGGCTGCTGCTTGGAAGGACGAGAGGCCCCTGGCTCAGGGGTTTATTTTGGGGGGAGCCGTGCAGGGTTTGGGGTTGGGTGGTGTCCCTGCTGGCCTTGGCATGGACAGAGTCTGTGCCACCCTCTGAGGTGGGACATGAGGCTGGTTGGAGGGGACAGCTGTGCTGGGACTCTGCAGTCCCCGGAGCCATGGGGTGTCAATGCCTGAGCTCCTGCCCATGCATCACGTCCTGACACAGTCCAGCCAGGGGGTCCTGGCTTTCTGGGAGGGGTCACAGTGCTCCAGATGTCCCCAGCTCCCCGTCTCAGCTTGGATCCTTGACATGGCTTGTGGCACATTGCATGGTGGCTACCAGGGACAAGGGCCTGGATTGAGGATCATCTTCCAGCCAAGCCAGGTGGTGCACAGACAAGCCCTGCCTGCTGTCCCTGTGTGCTGAGGTGGAGGCTGTCTCCATGCCCTTCTTCCCCATCTGAGAAGCATGGAATGCGTGGCACAGCCCATCCCAACTCCTGCTGGAGGTGTTGGCCACAGTAGGGCAGGCAAGGGGGGTTAGGAACCTGAGGAAGGATTCGGCCCTTCTGTCTTGGGTCTCCATGAGATATCCAACATTAGCTTAAGGAGCCTGATCCTCGGGGAATGACTCCTCCTTTACCAGCTTGGATGGACATACTGAGGCTGCTTGAGAAAGGTCCTGTCCTCGCTGCTCAGCTCCGTGGTCCTCCCAGCATCCCAAAGGACACCGGCACTGGTCAGGCTGAGGAGGTGGCAAGGCTTGAGGAGACCTTCCACATCCTGCTGCATTCCTTGCAAATCCATCTCTCCCATTCCAGAGGCTCTGCCCTACAGAGGGAGGAGAGGGGTTTCAGAGCAGAGCCACCCACCAGCCTTGCTGAGGACCTCCTTTCCTTGCTGGCTCGTTGGCCATTGTGTGGTGGTCCAGGGCATGAGCCAGTGGATCCACCCTGCTGGCTCCAGCCCCTCCTGGTCCCAAACACCCTAAATCCCACCGGGAACACACTGGCATTTGGATCCCAGTGCTGCCATGACTCCCCAGCTGGGTCAGGTTCTGCAGCAGATGGAGGTGACCAAGGCTCGTGACAGCAAAGATTTGGAGCCTCTCAAGGCCATGGCACAGCAGCTGCTGCACTGTGGGGCTTCCCTGTGCAGACCTGTCCCTCCCTCCACACTGCCATGGGGATCCATGGGGTGGGATGGGATGCAGGGAGCCTGGGGTACAAACCCTGCTGGCACCGGGCGCTGTCTGATCCTTTCTGGGGGTGCCACAGCCCAGCAGTCGGGAAGGTTGCGGGAAGGTTGCCATCCATCCCCATATTTACAGGGGCTGAAAAATCCACACTGGGTGAGGTGGGAGGAGAAACCTGCAGGGCCCCCCGATGTGTTTGCTCCCCTTCAGGGTTACATGAAGCCGCTGAAGCAGCCGGAGAACTCCCTGCTCTGTGACCCCTCGCTGGTGGACGAGATCTTCGACCAGATCCCCGAGCTGCTGGAGCACCACGAGCAGTTCCTGGAGCAGATCCACGACTGTGTGCAGAACTGGCACGAGAAGCAGAAAGTGGGCGACCTCCTGGTGCAGTCGGTGGGTCCCGGTGGGGTGGATTCCTCCTAGGCATGGCCCCATGGAGAGCATTCGGAGCAGGAGGCTGGGGAGTGGTTAAAGGACGGGCCTGGGATGGAGCACAGGAGACAATCTCCAGGCCTGTTGTCTGCTTAGCATAATGCCAGGGAGCTGCAGCTCCCGGCTGGATCAGCAGCTCCCGGCTGGATCTGCAGCTCCGTGTCTCTGCCTCGGGAGCAGAAACGTCAGGGCTGAAAAATCGGTGGGCGGACAGCGGGAGAGCCCTCCCTGCGCCAGCCCAGAGCCAGGATTAACCCTTGGGGCAGCTTCCTCCACGCTCTCCCGGCGTGTCCCTGTCGGCTCTATCCCCCTTTTTCCCTTCCCAGTTCTCCAAGGACGTGCTGGTGAACATCTACTCTGCCTACATTGATAACTTCCTCAACGCCAAGGATGCCGTCAGGATCGCCAAGGAAGCCCGGCCGGCGTTCATGAAGTTCCTGGAGGTGGGTCCTGGTTCCTCTCTCCATAGGTGCTGCCCAACATCCAGAGCCAGGCTGCTGGTGGGGCAGGATGGGAATTAAAGGGAATAAACTGGTAAGCTGTGGTCAAACTGGGATTTTTCCCCTCACCTCCTTGGTTTTGTTGCGAAGAGGATGGGTTGGGATGAACCAGAGTCACTCCAGACGGTGTGAAGAGGAGTCGCCAGGAGGCAAAGCGGGTGCTGCTGCAGGTCCTGGGCTGGTGGGATGTTGAGTCCCTGCTGTGTCCCACCCATCTGTGTCCCTCATGGGTGTTTTGCAGCAAAGCATGAGGGAGAACAAGGAGAAGCAGGCCCTGTCCGACCTGATGATCAAGCCGGTGCAGAGGATCCCGCGGTACGAGCTGCTGGTCAAGGTGGGTGCAGGCAGGGGGTGACTGCACTGGGGCTGCTGGGGACGTGCTTCCATGGAATCCCAGCGTGCTTTGGGTTGAAGGGACATCAAAGCTCATCTCATTCCACGGGCAGGGACACTTTCCACTAGCCCAGGTTGCTCCAAGCAGGGGGTGACTGCACTGGGGCTGCTGGGGATGTGCTTCCATGGAATCCCAGCGTGCTTTCGGTTGAAGGGACATCAAAGCTCATCTCATTCCACGGGCAGGGACACTTTCCACTAGCCCAGGTTGCTCCAAGCCCCATCCAGCCTGGCCTCGGACACTTCCAGGGATGAATTTTGGGTGTCTGTGCGAGGTGGTGATGGAGCTGGTGGGCTCTTTAGCGGTGACAGACGCCAGGCTGGCGGTGGCCAAAGCCCAAGCCTTCATTTCTTGGGGCCAGTTTGCACCCCCAGCAGCCGGAGCAGCGCGGGGGGGCTGGGGGATGTTGGTGACACTTGCCCAGGTTGACAGTGTGGCCATGTCCCCACGCAGGACCTGCTGAAGCACACGCCAGAGGACCACCCCGACCACCCCTTCCTCATCGATGCCCAGCGCAACATCAAGCAGGTGGCCGAGAGGATCAACAAGGGCATGAAGAGCGCGGAGGAGGTGGAGAGGAATGCCCGGATCGTGCAGGAGATCGAGTCCCACATCGAAGGGATGGAGGATGTATGTGGCGGGGAGGGGGCTTAGATGGGGTCGGGCTTCCCTTCTCCCCAAAATGCCAACATTTCTGCTCCTTCTGGGCCACATTTCTCTTCCGTGTCCTGCCTTCCCCATCATGGCCTTGGTGGGCTCCTGGAGCTTGGGGAGTGGGGGATACAGGGGTGAAGCCCCCAAGGCTCCCCACCCACGAGCCTCCTTTGTCCCCACAGCTCCAGGCTCCGCTTCGCAGGTTCCTGCGCCAGGAGATGGTCGTGGAAGTGGTAAGAGAGGGGTGGGGCTCCTCCCTCGCCACCAGGGCTGTGGGACCACACACTGGATGCTGGGACTGGGGGTTGTGGGGTAGATAGATAGATGGATGAATGAATGACAGATCAATGGTGACACTATAAATTCCCTAAGTATGAGCGAAGATAAGATGGATTTTGGAGCAGGCAGGGGGCAGGGAGAGCCCCCAGCAGACCTGGTCAATAGGGAGGCTGGAGGTGGAGACCATGCCTGGTGTTCCTATGGCCCTGGATCCCATTGCACCTGGTCCCCTTTCCCCATCCCAAGGACACAGCTGTTCCCCATGTGATGGTGGTGTGGGACCAGTCCCACCCTGCAGCCTCCCCGTGTCCCAGTGTGGGGAAACTGAGGCAGGGACCTCTCCCAGTGCTGGCAGCAGAGGGGGGTGTGGACACTGACCCGTTGGTGTCTCCCACGACCCCACAGAAGGCGGTGGGCGGGAAGAAGGACCGCTCCTTCTTCCTCTTCTCGGACCTGCTGGTGTGCACCACATTGAAGCGCAAGTCGGGCTCCCTCCGCCGCAGCTCCATGAGCCTGTGAGTACCACCAGGCTTGGGGGCACCCCTGGGATCGTACCCCCATAGCTGGCCTGGCTTTAGGGTGCTGGAGGAGTGGGTGCAGCTCAGCCATCCCGCCCAACCCCGCAGGTACACGGCGGCCAGCGTGATCGACACCGCCAGCAAGTACAAACTGCTCTGGAAGCTGCCCCTGGAGGACGTGGACATTGTCAAAGGTGTGGCACTGCTGCAGTGTCCCATCCCACCCCAAAACCCATCGCTCACCCCTGGATGATGGGGAGGGAGGAGGGGTTGATGCTGTGCACGTGTCCTCGCACAGGTGCCTCGCAAGCCACCAACAGGGAGAGCATCCAGAAAAGCATCAGCCGCCTGGATGAAGACCTCAGCACGCTGGGGCAAGTCAGCAAGCTGTCAGAGACCCTCAGCTTCCCCCACCAGGTATGGGCACGTGATGCTGTCCCCTGGTTGGACACATTCCCAGGGTGTCCTCAGCCAGAGGGGAGAACCTGTGGAAGGGCCAGTGGCCATGGGTGTCCTCAAAGGACCCAGATGCCACCAGCCCCAAAGCCACTATGGGGTTGGGGCAGCTTCTGAGGGATGGCAAGGGATGTCCAGGGTCAGCGTCACGTGGTGTTCCTGGTGCTGTCCCCTTCCCCAGGGGACCAACTGGGATGCCCTTGGTGGAAAGAACAGCCTGGGGAAGGGCTGGTGGCATCTGTGCTCTTAGAGGGCAGCCTCTGAATTGTAGCAGGGGATGGACAGGGTGGTGGTGGCCCATCCCTGGGAGCTGAAGCGTTGTCCCCATCCCCAGAGCCTGGATGACGTGATCAAGGACCTGATGGCCGCCATCCACCGGGAGCTGTCGGAGAAGCAATCCCTGTCCTTCAGCATGGCCTTCCCCCCCAACAAGGTGGAGCTCAGCACCACCAAGGCCGACGGCACCGAGTCCTTCATCTTCGAGTTCCCCAACCCCGACGCCCGGCTCGGCTTCGAACAGGCCTTCGAGGACGCCAAGAAAAAGCTGGGTAACACCGGGCACAGGGGAGGAGGCCGTGGGTGTGGTGGGCTTGGCATCACTTGGTAGCCCCCCCTTTCCTCCACCGCTTCCTCAGCCCGCAACTTGGTTTTCCCCAGCTTCCAGCAAAAACTGCCTGGACCCGGAGTTCCTCAAAGCCATCCCCATCATGAAGACACGGAGCGGGATGCAGGTACTCAGAGCCTGGGTCCCGCGGGAGCCGCGGGGGCCGGGACGAGGTGGCTCGTTCCCGAGGTCTCATCTCCCGCTCCCTCGCAGTTTTCCTGCGCCTCCCCCAGCCACGGCAGCCCGGAGAGCTCCCACGAGGTGTGGGTTTGCAACAGCGACGGCTACGTGGGGCAGGTGTGCCTGCTCAGCATCCGCAAGGAGCCCACGGTGGAGGCCTGCATCGCCGTGTGCTCCGCCAGGATCCTCTGCATCGCCTCCGTGCCCGGCCTCCAGAGGGCCTGCAGGTAGG